CCAAAGGCAAGGGCACGCTTCGTCGCCGCATCCATGCCAGCCTTGAAATGGTAGAAGCCCTCGCGGGTGCGGGGCACGTCCCAGCTGAAGTAGACTGGGGAGCCTGCGTAGTGAGATGCGAGGGATCTGCGGCGGGTGATGCCCATATCACGGTCCTCGGCAGTAGCAGCGAGATACTCGTCAATCTTGGCCTGGGAAACGCCCTTGTCCTTCATATGAGCCACGGCGGCCTCGTCGAAGGTGACCAGCTTGCTCTCCTTGACCCACTTGGCCTCAAAAGCATCAATCTCGGAGCCCGCAGCGCCCTTTGCCTCCATAGCTTGGATGGTCTCAGCAAGGGGCTGTACAGAGGGGTCAGTGACACCGAGGATGAACTCATGGTCACGAACATCAATAGCTGACGAGATCAATTTGCCAGACTCAGAGTCGGTACGGGCGAGCACGAGGTTCTCGCATCCCATAACATCCCACTGGAATCGCGCAGCGTTGAGGCGGTTGATGTGCTCTCCGGTGGGGACAAGGACCTTGCCAGCAAGATGGCCGCACTTCTTGCCACCGTGCAGCTGGTCCTCGAAGTGAACAGCAGCGGCACCGTTCTCAGCAAAGAGCTTTGCCAGCTTGAGGACGGCAGAAAGACCGCCATGGCCAGTGTCGCCATCGGCGATAATGGGGCGCAGGTAGTCGGTATAGGAAGTCTTGGCACGCTCCTCGGGTGTCATTTTGCGACGAGCATCCCACTGCTTGCGATCGTGCATGGACTGGGCCTTGGCCAGTCGCTGCACCTGGTTTGGAACTGTGTTGTATGGGTAGTCGCCAAAATCAGGCGAGACCTCGTTCGTCGAGGTGAGGAGCGAGGAGCAAGCCCAGCCAGAGATGTAGAGAACCTCTTGGTGGGGAGCTTGCTGGGTCATCTGTACAGGATCGATGGCGCCCACTTCAAGAAGACCAAAACGTTAGTTTCATGATTGCAGAGCTTACATGGGCTGAGAGCAGAGATCGGGATAAACGTACTCGTATGGATGGGCTCGCCCTTGGACTCGCGCTCACGGATCAGGTTGAAGAGCTTGGTGGCCATGACAGAGCTCGGGTAGGAGATCTTCTGGGTTCCTCGCTTGGAAACCACATCATCTGCGCTGTAAGGTCTCTTGATGCCCTGGAATCGGGGTGACGACCACCAGGCCTCGACCTCCTTGATCTGTGACTCGTACAATGCATCCTCGGCGTCGCCCGCCTTTTGCGACTCGGGAAGTAGCTGGAAGGCGTCGGCTGCGGGCACGGACGCCGAGAATGGGTTGGGGGCCTGGGGGCCGGCCATTCTGGTGGTTGTGGAGAGAGCTCGAAGAGGTAGACGTGGGGTATATTGCGACAAACGAGCTGTGGACATAAGAGCTCGACGAGGAGCGGCGCGGATAGCTATTCTCTGCATCATGGCGAGGGTGTCGAGAATAGAGAAGCTGGAGGGAGCTGACAACGAATCGCCACCACAAGAAGGAAGAGGGAATCAAGAAGAGTAAGGGAAAAGGTTCTCTCGGTGATCGGATGAAACGGGTAGAACGGGAAAGAAGAGGTTTGGATAAAAATTGACGCCGAGCAGCTCCGTCTCGGCCGACTGCGGCGATTGGAAATAGGTGGAAGATTTGGGGTTCGATCAAGGCGTGTGGAGTAGCGATTCTGACGCTCGCGGAAATCGCACAGCGGCACGTCAGTAGCAAATGCACTGGCAGCTGCGGTTAATCGTGCATAATACGGGGAAGTGCCACCTTCTACCGAGGCTGTAGTAGCAGCTCTGCCTACCCTGTAGCCGCAGACGGGCTGGCAAGGTGCGTTTAGCCATGGCTAGCAGCGGCAACGTATTACCGACGACATTGGCCAATGGATTGTTGCAAATTTGCTGCCTAGGAACTCCAACATTCGTACGATCCTATGATTCCAACCCCTTTGGCCCGACCGAGGGGGGTATGGTTGGCCCTCGGCTAGAGTGTTTTGTTCCTGGACCATGTGTAGACCGACAGCTTCTCCAAGACGCTTGCCCAGGTGTTCAAGTACTCCACACTCGCGGTTTTGATAAGGGGGATTGGTTGAGGCCCTGCTATGAGGATTGCTTATCCTCCGCTCACCGGAGAGTGATGGGGAGGGGAAGAGGCAGGTATCACTCGAGGGTGGGAATTGGGGCATGTCTTGTGAATGTCACAGGCTGATGCACTGGACGGTTGCGTCTCGTTCTATAGATCACGTATGTAGTCCGCGCACAGATGTAGCCATTCCCAGCGGTGGCCCCATCCCTAGTAGTAACTTTCTCACTCCAAATCTCGTATCCTGCGCTTAAACTTCCAGCAGAACTCACTTCCTCGGCATAAGGTGGCCAGCCACGGCCGAACCCAAGCAGCCGCCCGCCCTTGTGCTGGGCCACGGATAGCAGAGCTTGGCTCTACCCCGCATCCAGTTCAGCGATCTGATGTACCCAATGTACCCACTAATGGACCTCTTGGGCTATAATCCGGGCTGCTAAGTGCTCCGGACAGCGCAGTTTCCGACCCCGGAGTCCCCCAGAGCCCCCGCTTAGCTGCGGTACCCAGCACTGCAGCCAGGTAACTTTGGGGACTGCAGGAAGGACGTGTATTAGCATTCTCCCATCCCGTCCAGCGTCTCATGGGGGGGGCCTTGAGTTCTTCTTTTGTCTGCGCCCTCCCCAGCTTCTCCTCTTCTTTTTCTCTCCTCCTCCTTGTCTTCTCCTCTCCGTCTTCATCTCCTTATCTCCTCATCGCCACACCAGGCAGACCAGCAACTAGCCATGGCCCTCAGATTGCGCAACTCTTCCCGAGCATGGAGCTCCATCAAGGTCCGTACTAGTCAATTGAGCTACCAATTCCTCATGTTACGTTCAAGCCGGGACTGACACGATGCTGCTGCCAGCCCATCACCCGTGCTGCCGTTGGTAGCCGGGCATATTCCACAGCTGAGCCGGATCTCAAGGCCACCCTCAAGGAGGTCATCCCCGCCAAGCGCGAGCTCCTCAAGAAGGTCAAGGCCCATTCGGACAAGGTCATTGGCGAGGTCAAGGTTGAGAACACGCTCGGCGGCATGCGCGGCCTCAAGGCCATGGTCTGGGAGGGATCCGTCCTCGACGCCAACGAGGGCATCCGCTTCCACGGCCGCACAATCAAGGACTGCCAGCAGGAGCTGCCCAAGGGCAAGACCGGCACCGAGATGCTCCCCGAAGCCATGTTCTGGCTGCTGCTCACCGGCAAGGTCCCCTCGACCAACCAGGTCCGCGCCTTCTCCCGCGAGCTCGCCGAGAAGGCCAAGCTGCCTGCCTTTGTCAACCAGATGCTGGACAACTTCCCGACCGACCTGCACCCCATGACCCAGTTTGCCATGGCCGTCTCCGCCCTCAACTACAACTCCAAGTTTGCCAAGGCCTACGAGGCCGGTCTGAATAAGGCCGACTACTGGGAGCCCACCTTTGACGACAGCATTGAGCTGCTCGCCAAGCTGCCCACCATTGCCGCCAAGATCTACCAAAACGCCTACCGCGGCGGCGGCGCTCTCCCTGCCGAGGTTGACCTCGGACAGGATTGGTCCTACAACTTTGCCGCCATGCTGGGCAAGGGCGGCAAGGAGAACGAGAGCTTCCAGGACCTGCTCCGACTCTACCTCGCCCTTCACGGTGACCACGAGGGAGGCAACGTCTCTGCCCACGCCACCCACCTGGTCGGAAGCGCTCTCTCCGATCCTTTCCTCTCCTACAGTGCTGGTCTCCAGGGTCTGGCCGGACCTCTCCACGGGTAAGCTTGGTTCCTCCCACTCCGCCACCCCTCTCCTTTCTGCAATTGAACAGTCGCTAACAATGGGTCAATAAACAGTCTGGCTGCTCAGGAGGTTCTCCGCTGGATCATCCAGATGAAGGAGGCCATCCCCTCCTCCTACACCGACCAGGACGTCCACGACTACCTCTGGTCCACCCTCAACTCAGGCCGCGTCGTCCCCGGCTACGGCCACGCCGTCCTCCGCAAGCCCGACCCCCGCTTCGAGGCCCTCATGACCTACGCCGCCTCCCGCCCCGAGATCGCCAGCGACCCCGTCTTCCAGCTCGTCGAGCGCAACAGCCGCATCGCCCCCGACGTGCTCAAGAAGCACGGCAAGACCAAGAACCCCTACCCCAACGTCGACTCCAGCTCCGGCGTCCTCTTCCACCACTACGGCTTCCACGAGACCCTCTACTACACCGCCACCTTTGGTGTCTCCCGCGGTCTCGGACCCCTCGCGCAGCTCATCTGGGACCGCGCGCTCGGCCTGCCCATTGAGCGGCCCAAGAGCATCAACCTCGAGGGTATCCTCAAGCAGGTCGAGGGCCAGTAGGAACAGAAACGAAAATAGAAGTAAAAACTTGAAATAGTTAAGAAAGGACATGCCCACGTAGGGCAATTTGTTTTGGGTATGAGAAATGATATCATTTTTTTTCAGATTGCTTTCGCGGATTTTGCCCTTTGTCCCTTGCATTTCTCTTCTGTCCTGGATTTGGGAGTAAGTCCTTCTCCCAGTAAGATATCATTGTATATCCTCATAGACCTAAAGAATGATGAACTTTCCCCGCTTGAACCTGTAAACGACCAAGCCCCTCGATCAACAACTCACTACTACATATCAATAAACAGCCCCAAAGGCCGGCAGGTAAATGTAAATGTTCTATTCAATCCGCTATAAACATCCGAAACTCAAAATGAGGGTGAAATCTCAACTACCTATACAGCAAATGCCCCCCTCTCCTTCCCGTCTGGGCACGATCAAATAGATGCTTTCCCTTTAAATAACAAGCCAACGCCTTATGCATCGCGAGCATGCCTTCAAATTATAATCAATAATCGGAACAGGGTGCCAGGGGAGCCCCAAGACCAGCCCAAGGCTATAAATTGCCCCCAATATACAACAAGAAAAGAAACCTAGACGAAAGAAGGAACACACACATAAAAAAACAAAGACCAGGCGCCCAAACGGTTCTATCAATCCCGGTAGCTTTGCATCCGGTGCGCGCCGTACGCCTGCTCAGGCCCCGGCGACATATCAGACGCGCCCACCGGGCTGTGCGATCGTGGGATCTCCGCCTCGGTCATGTCCATCGGGGGAGGCGGCGTGGAGAAGCCGCTGTTGGCGACGCTCCGGGTATCGATGCTCCTCGCGTCGATGCTCCTGGCGTCCATACTCCGCGTGTCGAGGAACGGGTTCTCCACGGCCGCGTACCCTCCCGAGCGCGTCATCGTCGCGCCCGCACCCGCACCCAGGTCAGCACCGCCCCAGGCCGCCGACTTCTCGTCGGGGTCCGAGTGGTTCACGGCGGCGTACGTGCTGGCACCCAGGCCCGCGGCGGCCAGGCCGGCTCCCAGCCCTGCGGCGCCCTTGTACTCGGTCTCGCCGCCGTCGGGGCGGTAGCCGTCCATCTCGAGGTGGTCGCGCTCGTCGGCCAGGCGGGCCTCGCGGATGCCCTGGCTGCGCTGCCTCCAGATGTAGAAGGCGGCGGCGGCGACGAGGGCGACGCCCGCGACGCCGCTGCCGATGTAGATGCCGATCTTGGCGCCCTCGGGGAGCGCGTTGAACTTCTCGCTTGTGGACTTCTCGGCTTCCTCCGGGGGCTCGTTGATGGCGTTGAGGGCGGTTGAGTTTCCTCTGTGGGGGGAAGGGATCAGCTGATATCATCTTTACAAGGAGAGAAAGCGCCAATTGACTTACGAGATAACCTCAATGCTGTCCCAGGATCCTGACCTGTCGCCGAACTTGTACTCCTTGCCGGTGCTGTAGTCCTCGACGAAGACGCTCTTGACATGCATCTCGTACGGCCCGGCATTGTAGTCCGTGTCACCTCCAGCCCACTTGCGCGTGCCCTCGGGCATTCTGGGATCACCACCGGCCCAGATACCCAGGCTGAGGCGCAGCGGCGTCTGGGGGAAGGTGTCCTTGCCGTCGGACAGGGTCTCGGCGCCGGGGACGACGGTCCTCACGAGCTGCGAGTCAATGTACCAGTCCAGCCGGTCCTTGCGCCAGTCCACCGTGTAGTTGTGGTAGTCGTCCTGCGGCGGCGACGCCATGGGGTGCCACCCGCCCTTGGTGAAGTCCTCGACGCCCTTGCCGTAGTAGTTGGTCGTCGCGTGGGTGTTGTTGTTCCCGATGAACTCCCAGTCGATCTCGTCGAGGTTGTCGCCCAGCAGCATCATGGAGCTGATGATGCCCGCCCCGGGTGCAGCCTTGAGGGAGAGCTCGACGCGGCCGCCGAAGATGTAGAACTTGGTGCGCAGGGTGGGCGAGTCGCCCTGCTTGGCGACGGTGAGCTTGGCGCCCGTGTCGGCGTCCCAGTCGACCGTGCCGACGTGCGTCTCCCAGAGCTTGCTGTTCTGCGTCTGGTTGAAGTTGAAGAACTGCGAGGTGGCGAGCGCCGGGTCGTTGGGGCAGTCCTTCTCCATCGGGTTGCAGTCCGTCGTGACCTGGGCGGCGGCGAGGGACGCCAGGGCCGCTGCCGTGGCGAGGAGGCTCCGCGACAGCATTTTTGTTTGTGTGTGTTGTTGGCTGCCTGCTTACTGGTTTTGGTGTAAGTGAGGCTATCACCAGATCGAGCAAGACAATGCTCCCTCTGTAGATCTCTCTTTGCACCAGCTAAAACGCGGGGCAATTGTCCAAAAGGAAATTAACAAACGACAGCTTCACTGATGAAACAGGAAAGGGAAAGAATGAATGAAAAAGGAAAAAAAGTATACTAAAATTCCCAACGGAAATGAGGATCTGGATAAAATTAGTGGAGCTGGAGATGGGTCTTTCTGTAGGATCCAGCTGGATTCTGAATATAGCACGGAATGAGTGACTGAGGCAGAGTCGTCGAAAGGAATGAACGACAGGCTCCTGGGTGTTTGGAAGGAGGGATTAGTTGGATCGAGGGGAGAAATGAATGAAGGATGGCTTTTGTGCGTGCGCAACGCTGATCCAACCTGTCTCGGCGTCGTGAAAGGAGTGGACGGTACCGCGGGCTCAGAAACACGGGGCAGCACCAATTACCTATAAGATCGAGGCAGGAGAAGAAGGGAGGACAAAGGGAGAGAGTGGCGACTCGAAGGAAGATGAAACACCCGCCTGCCGAGACCTTTTCCCATAGACTTCAGATGAACGTGGAAACGCTCCATGCAGTCCTGGCAATTAATGGCCCCCCTTCTCATATCTTGGCCCCTCGACTGGTCCAATCAAGGCAATTGAATCAGAAATCTCCAGCCCCTGACTGCGTCCCTGACCCCGAGGCCAAGGGGTGGCGGTGGCGGAGGAGCGTGTGCGGCCTTCATAACTGCTTGTGTATCCATCGATTACCCCGATGGCTTTGCTCTCGCGCTCTCTTATCAACGGATTTATGTAGCCAACGTACGAGGCTACCCGCGGAGGACGAGGGTCCCGCGCAGGCTTGGCAGGGATAAGGTGCTTATTACGGCGGTGGCTACGTCCATGATCCATCCACCAGTCCCTGCACGCAATTTCCCGGCCTGTTCCAGTTACCGTCTACGGCGGGATCGGCAAGTCTATTTCCATCCCAAGGCACAGCTAGCGGGAGAGGCCATGGTTAGCGAAGGTAAATCCCGAGCGAGTGTTCTTAGTGCAGACATCCCACGGGCACAATGCGTACAGTTTAGGTAGGTAATTCATTATCTATTTATCCTCCCGCCTTTTAGAACTCCTGTCCATGGATAAAAGATCAAGTGCCGCGTGGCTTCCCCTGCAGGTGCCGATAAGCCGATCTGCATAGGTAGTAAAAGGGGCGAGAGCTCCAGAGGCTTCAGCGCCTGTTTCGTCGGCACCGAGTCATACAATGCCTTCTAGGTCTCTCTGCTCACCGCCGCTCGAGGAGTCGAGAAGCCTCAATTCACATTTCGCTCCGTTCCGATGTATGATCAACAGGCAGGATCGCACAAGACATATCATTGCACGTGCGTTACACTAGGCAGTAATAGCCGGTGATGGTTATGGATTCTTTTATGGACTCTTCATTGATTCTCTACTTCATGTTCCACAATATGTCCAGAACTAGCAAGGATAATGTCATACCATATAAATCATGGGCCGGCTATTTATTCGTTTGTATAAGGGGTAATCCCCAAGCATGAAAATTGTATCGGGCAAGTATACACTTGCCCAGACAGTCTGGATAACTCCTCCCAGTACTGCATCCAAAGGAGAAAAGATGTGTGAACACAACCATGAGAGACAGTCGGAAGAATCAATCTCGTCTCTATCAGTGACACAAGGAAAGCTGTTTCCGAAGGGAAGTTGGTCTGTACGGTGTGAATGACAAGACAACAGGAATCAAGAAAAGACGAAGGTAAAAACGAGAAACAAGATCGCTCCAGCTCCAGCTTCTGAAAGACAAAGGAAACAAATTTTCTTCAAATCATCATGAATGGTTCATCAATCTCGCCGACGAGAGGGCGAGGCAGCCTCAAATCTAATAATGGCCGATTTATGTGTGGCCTAGAACAGATCATGGCCTTTTGTTAGTGTCATCAGCATCTTGGTCAATGTGCAATGCAGGGAGAGAGAAAAGGTCTTTCATGAAATGTTCGCAGGAGCGAGAAAAAAATATCAAGGGGGAGGGGGTTGTTACTCACGTCCAAGTCCGCGCCCACGAGCGCTCACCTCCCTGACGGCCATCTGCTTGGCCCGCAGGTCCTTCTCGACCCTCTCCACGGCGTCCCGGGCCTCGAGGACCTCCTTCTTGGACACGGCGAGCGCGCGATCCGCGGCGATCTCCGCCTTCTCCGCCGCCAGCACGCGGTGCTTGGCCAGGGCGATTGGGTCGTTGCGGCTGCTGCCCAGCTTGCGCCCCAGGATGCTGCCCCCTCCAGCGGAGTGGCGGCTCTTGGCGTGGGAGTGGCCGTCGCTGCTGCTGTGGGAGGACATGCTGGACACGGAGTGGCGGCTGCCGATGCCGTGGCCGTGGATGCTGCCCTTTTGAGAAGCAATACGCTCGGGAGAGGGGGAGGACCCGCGGCGGTGGAAGATGCCATGCTTCTTGGGCACGGGCTGGGGCACGGGGGCCGGTTCGGGCTGGCGTCGACTGAAGATGCTACCGTGGCTGCGGGTGGGAGCTGGGAGAGGCTCAGGCTCAGGCTCCACGCGGCGGGAGGATCCGAAGAAAGGCATGTTGATGGTTGAAGGTAAGTGTGATGTTCCTAGATGGCTAAGATTGAGATGATCGCAACGCAATGTCACTAAGGAAGATATGGAAGTTTGTTGGAGGATATCACAGTGTGATTTGATTGTCTGTACAACTTCGTCTCCAGAGCCAAGGCCGAGCGACTCTTCTTTATACTAATCCGTATATCCCTTGGTTCTCACCACATCCCGTCGACTGATCGTCCATCAGAAATTCCGTCATCGCTGTCATCATCGCGCTCGTCTGGCTCCTGGAATCAACTTCCCACGACGTGCGATGACCCCACGCAATAGCGACAGCGCTATCTGATGAGAGAGCCATCATCGGCCCTCCAAACCAGGTCCAAACCCTGTTTTGGTGATGGAGGATGGTGGGAGAGCCCTGGTCGTGACGTCAAAACCCTTAATTGAGGCTTCCCGACAAGGCTAGTGGCGAGAAAATCCCACCAGCTAAAGTCGCTCCAGCTTCTGCCCACATCCAGCCGGAAACCTCTGGCTTGTGGGCGCATCGGCCGGTGATTGGCCCACATCCCGGTCCCTGAAGACTCGTCCCTTGAGTCCCATGCAGGGTCCTCTCCCTCCTCGCTTGCTCACCTCCAGAGGCCGCCGAAAGATGTTCGTCATCTTGCTTTAGACCCTCCGGCCTCATCCAGGACGCAATCATGGTTTTGGACCCTTTCTCGTGGTCCCTGCAGACCCGACCAAGCCAACCAAGTCGATCTGGGCGTGACTGGGGATGTTGATGGTGACATGCACCGCTCCTCGCTTGCTCTCACCGCGATACGTGTGATAGTAGCGACAACCCTGAACAGATGAAAGCGTGTCGTCCCACGAGCAGCTGCGTCACACTACACTCTCCATCCAACTAGCTCTCGGGCGCCCGCTCTGGACATGGATCGACATCCTGATGTTTAGCTGGGGGAAGGTCAGTCTAGTTCAGGCAGATCACATACTATTTCGCGTAGCTGCTTTTCCTTATCAGAGACCAGACACTATAATATCAAATGAAAAGTGATGGTAACGAACCAAGCTTTTTTATTTTCCTCTCCCCTTTCTCCTTTTCGGATATCACAGTAGATTACATGGATTTGTCTCAACCCGGGGTGCTGACTCGTGTCAGTCAGCCCCCAAAAAAACTTCATCCATGAGAGGAAGCCGGGATAACTAGGTATGAAAGAACATAAAGGAAATGATGGAGAAGGAGAGGACCTGAGTTTCAATCAATTGGATATGAAGATGAAAAAAAGAATGCCTTCTCTAACAGCAAACTCATGCTAATTACTGAGCCAGGAGTAGGAGGTGAATAAAAATAGGATAAAGTAACAGGGTACGCCCGTTGGGCGGAGGTCATGACCAAGACACAAGCGCGAACAAGGAACAAAAACGATGATAATAAAAAATGTAGTAGGGTAAACTTGGCCCCAGCCTCGTCATCGCTATACCTGCCATGCCACAACTTCTAGTTCGTCGGGGGCCAGAATGCGGTCGGCTTCCATGCAGGTGTGTGTATTTTATACAGAACCCAGGCGACAGAATATCCTCCAGTCCAACCCTCCGTCTCTTCGTATTAGGTTAAATGTGTAGGACCGCGTGTGCCATAGGTATGTAGGTAGAAGCGATTCGTGTTCGAAATATGTACAGTCGAAGGAGATAAAAGAATAAGCAGCGAAAAATATCAGCCGACTCCAACATAAGGGGGTCGCAGGTCGGTCGACTTCGGTCCGTTTCTCGATGTAGGTTTCGACTGGAGGACAGGCATCGAACAAGGAGATGGGATTGTGCTGAATCCCATTCGCCGAAAAGGATCGCATGGCCGACTGCGCCCTCGTAACATCGCTCAGTCGTCAATGTGCTCATCTACATAATGATGCACTTGCTCTCCTCGGTATCCTTCTTCACACTCAGGGCAACGCGCGCAGCCTCGGTAAAGGCCTCGTTGACACCGCGATTCCGCATGGCCGAGCATTCGAGATAGCGTAGAGCTCCTATGCGACGGGCTACCTCGAGTCCTTGCTCGTAGCTGATGGTTGGCTTCTTCTCACGTGGTGGCTCGGCGGCCTCGGTGTTGGTGCCTTCGCCGTCCTCGTCTTCCTCGCCGCCCTGTTCTCGCAGATCGCACTTGAGAGCGACAAGGACCAGTTTCGTTCCAGGGCAGTTGTCGGCAATCTCGCCCACCCATTTCGACTCCACGTTTTCTAACGAGTCCTTGCTGTCAACGGAAAAGCAGAGCATAATCAGGTCGGTATCATCTAGGGGCGTTCAGTTAGTATAATGGTCTCGGGAGACATGCACAAATTATTTTCAGGGGGAGACCATACCGTATGAGAGTGATCGTAAGCGGTCGAATTCTTCCTGT